TACGATCAAATAAAAAATAAATTAGAGTAGGCGTCGATTAAATTCTACAGTTGTCAACACATTGGCTGGGAATCTGGGCTGGAAATTTTCCACACAAACTGAGAGTGAAAATCACCATCTACCGTTTTCCTCTTGTACAGCAATAATAATTTTCTGCTCTAAAGTGAACATTATTTCACTCAAAAGGAATAAAACGCAAACTTGTCAAAGTTTCCGCTGACATTTGACGTCAAATACCAGGATTGCCATCTGAAGGACCTCCTACTATATTTTTTTTTTGATCGCGCGGTATGTACAGGGTTATTCACGGGAGGGTTATTTCTGAATTTTTTTTGCCGCAACCAACAATACCAATCTCACAAACTACTAAATTAAATATGTTATTTCTTTAAAATTACAAATCAAAGTAAGTTGGATAAATTTGCCAGAAATGTCAGATTGACAGATAACCTATATTTAATCAAAATTCAACATATAAATTAACAAGTTAAATTAATATAAAAGGTGTTTGAAGTGTCTACCATCGACTTCTAAACATGCGCCTAGTCGGTTGGTAAACATAACAAAACATGTCGCATCGTTTGAGAGATAATTTTTTTACTATAATGTCACAGAGACAAGGCTAATAACAGCTATCGTCGATTTAGTTATAATTATTTTCAAAATTTGAAATCAAGAAGTTGTTGCAATATGTATAATGGGTTGCGGCAAAAACAAATTCAGAAATAACCCTCTCGTGACTAACCTTGTATATGGGAAAACATGAATTTACTGTTTAATCGATTAACCATTTAACTGGTTAAAATTTACCGTTTAACTAACTTAACCGATTAACTAGTTAATTGATTTAACCCGTTAATTTGGATTAACTAATTGGTTGATGAACTAATTAACCTAGTTATATTTTATGGCCTGTTTGGTCGGTCAAATTATACAGCACTAATCAATATAATTAATAGACAAATAAGTACTACCTCCCTCCAGAGTGTAACAAAACTCATGGGTCCGTTACCCATGGGTAAAATTCATTTAAATTAAAACTGCTCATTTTTTGAGTTTTTAAAAAACTCAATTTTGTATCTTGTTTTTTAAAAATACACATTCTAGAATAAAATTAAGCTTTTTACCTTCATTTGTTTTCAAATGAGGACGTCATTGATATTTTTTTCTGGAAACCCCATTTTTTTACTGATTTTAATGAAGTATTTATGCAATAAAATTGTGATATAATTTGTGTTGAATTTTTTTTTTAATAAAAAAAATTGATTTTCCTGTCTCAAAAAGGCAAAAATAGTTTAACTGACTTTGACTTTCTATTATTGGTGAAATTTTGACACTAATTTCAAATCATACAAAAATAAGTTTATCAAAAAATGACATAGACGACCAAAATACAGGCTGCGCCAGAACTCGCGCGCCAGAGAAAAATGTGATGTAAGGTAAGATACCAGGAACATAGAAAAAAAGTTTAAAAAAATATATCTATAAAAATTTCGAAGTTATGAGAGTTTAAATTTTGCACATTGCCGTTAGGGTTCGGGATTTGCACAGGATAAGAGATTTATCTAAAATGCTTCAGTATGATAAAACCAAAGAGAAAGACCAATTAGGACCTACATAAAAAATATATACGGCCACTAAAATTGACTAAATAATTCAATCGAGTTAATTCCCTAAGAGCTTTAGTGCCAGGACCGGACTTGGAGGCCCAAATTTTATTATTTTTTGGATAAACTTGAAAAGTTTTGTAAAATTATTTAAAACAACTTTTCTTAGTAATGGCTAACGCAATAAGTATGAGTGGACGTCCGTTTTATAAAATATCGTAATTTTACCCTTTTTTTCTCATCTAGCAAATGCAAATTAACCACCGATTTTACACATTAATTCCCGCCTTCAAGCAAATTAAAAAGCAACAAATAATTAGTAAATGAGATCCCGAATAATCCCGAAGGGCCCACTCACTTCCATCGTCGCAGACCAAGAGGTAAGCGAAGCGCAACCTTGTTAATCAAGTCTAATTGATCAGAATTACTACAGGGTGTACACAATTTACTATCAAAGTTATCAAGCTAAAAAGCTTTTTCTTTTTCTTATTTTGAATTGGAACCCCTGTGTATTTTTATATCATTTAATGCAAAATTAAAAGACAAACATTTTTTTCTAATTAAGTACAACCCTATCGCAAATACTAACACATTCGAAGTTATTTGCCAAAAACTCGTTTTGTCAACTATTTTAATTACAATTTTAACCAATAAAATTCGAAGATTTAATATTCTCTACAGACAAGCGAGTTAATCTTATATTATAATATATATATATATATATATTGGGCTACTGAATTGGTAAATAGCGTTGGCATAGTTACGAACAACGATCTACGATGTTACATAGTTACAAATGAGTCCGGTGGTAGCCTAATCTAGAGTTCCTATAGTAGAAGAGTTGGGACACTGAATGTCAGTTTTCATATTTTTCTTTTATATACGTCGGCTGACGTATAATTACAATAAAATTGGATACAAATCAGTGGCGTTTCGGCAAAATTTAACAAAAAGTCAAATTAATTTGTCAAATAAAAATTGACCTCTGTCCTCTGTCATTATGACCAAATCTGCTGGGYCCTATTGTGTTAATACATAAAAAAAACTGTRAGTTGTTTTCTGTGCCACGTTGCTCCAATGCAGGAGACAGTGTAAGACAAGTGGAACCTCTTTAAAACTAGTCAACTGGAGTGTGGGCCCCAAAAGTAAAATTTATCAAAAACAAAGGTGRAGCTTTCACATGATCAAGGACTATTATTCCGTTGTTTGGAGTGTTTTATTTTATCTACGTTAGGTCAGGTCAAGTCTACTTATTTCGTAAGTTTCAGGTTTTAAAACGTTTTCTGGAAACACTATCAAGTTTTTATTACTCATGGTAAATGCTGTATACAACCCACTGTGTACACATAATTTTTTCCTGTCTGGCCGCATCTCAATGTCCATTTATCTCCTACGTCCCTGACCAAATCTGACGTAAAATTATATCAATTTGTCAATGCGACAAAATTTATAACCTTAAAATAATTTTTGAAATAAACTTGACATTAGTTGCTACGAAAAATTTTAATGAAAAAAGATAGAACGTATATACCTTATCCACATAATACAAAATTGGTTCGGTTTGACGTTCAATGTCCCAACTCTTCAAATATAGGAACTCTAGCCTAATCTACGAGACTCATCGTAGATCGTTGTTCGTAACTATGCCAACGCTAGTTAAATTTTTGTTTGCATGAATTTTTGTTTAATAGCCCAGTCAAATTAAACAAATCGGTGGAAAAAAATCCTAGAGTTGGAATTTTTTTTTAAACGCTTTCTTTACACTTGGGTTTACATATATCAAAAGTCCCCGAAGGTGGGGGCCGAGCTCGAGGAGGGGGGGGGGAGTTAAAACAGTCTTTTTTTGTTTTTTTCTTATACCTCGGAAATTATCACTCCTATAGGTTTTTATCTTCTTATCAAAATTAAAGCTTACAAAATTTCCTACATTTTCTTTTGCATTTTTGTTGTAGGACTAACTGTAAGCGAGTTATAGGGCAGAAAATAAAGAATTGAAATAAAGAAATGAAGAATTTTCTGTAGAAGTCTATTTCTGCATCAAAATTTCCTACAAAAATGGTCCTATTCATTTTTGTCGTAGGACTAACCGTAGGCTTCAAAAATTTGGAGTCTACATAAAATTGCATTAAAAATCCGTTGAAACACATTTCATTAGTACGATATATGGCAAGTAAGCTGATCTTCCTGAAAGATGACTCGGGTGTAAACATTTAAACGGAGATATAAATAAAAATTTTGGATGAAAGAGAGAATCAATCTGTAAGGGTGTTAAATGGGGTGTAAATGTTTAAACAAAGATATAAACATAAAATTCTTGAGAGGTGTAAAGGGGCACTAAAATCAGATTTTTCGAAAATTAGTTTTTAAGGGAATAAAACGGTGTACACATTTAAAGGGATATAACAACATTAAATTTAGAACATATGATCCTTAGGAGTGTGTAGAAATTCACTTTTCAAATTTTAATGAAATAAATTAGAGTTAAATTAAATCATCTATTTATTAATGTTGTACTGAAAAAGACTGTAATTCGGTTTTCAATGTTTAAGTTGAAGACGAAGATGCAGCATTTGAGGACGACTCGGAAGACTTTATAGACTCTCTAATGAAGTGTTGCACCCAATAAATTCAATTTGCTTTCAATTTTTTCAAATCACAAGATTAATTCTGTTTTAATTGCGGATAAAGCACCTTTTTTAAATGATGTTTTTTGTCAGCCCTATAACTCGCTTACGGTTAGTCCCACAACAAAAATGCAAAGATTTTTGTAGGCTTTAATTTTGATAAGCAGGCAAAAACCGTTAGGAGCTCACCCCCTACCTTCGAAGACTTTTGATATATGTCTACCCAAGAATAAAGAAAGCGTTTAAAATAAATTCCAACTCTCTAGGATTTTTTTTCCACCGATTTGTCTAATTTGACTGGGCTATAAAGTGAAAGTGATCGTTGCAGTATTCTAAAAAATCTTATACCTACAATATTCGACGGGTAGCATTTTTATGGCCGAGCCAAATATTTTACAGGTCGAGCCGTAAGGCTACGGGTCTAATACCGTAAATAGCTAAACTCGTTTTCAAATTAATGTGAATAAGAAAAATGTTGCAATGTGAAAAATCGCAAAATTTTAAGCGTCCGGTTAATTTTGGCGGCCAGTGTATAAAAAACAGTATATTTCAAATTATGTTTTGTTTTTACGTACCTTGTTTTAACAATAATATCTTTAATTAGTCCTTAGTTTTATCATTTAAAGTAAACACTATGAGTCCAATTAAATTTAACATTGAATAATATAGAGACAATGTTGCCAAATCAATTTCAAAATCATAGGTTATTTTGATCGGAAATTTATGGTGTTTTACTGTTTAATACGCACGAATTAGAAAATAAGAACACTAACATTTTAAAGTAATTTATTTAACCCTGATAAAATTTAAGTAAGTTGAACATAATTTTTATTGGAATAATAACCATTAACATCCAACATATCAAGTAACTGTGTTAAATGTGGCTGGTAACCACTTTTTGCAACTTTTCGTCCTACTTTAAATAAGTATAATACAAATTCTTCAAAATTAAGAAAAATGCTTTCTAATTTTGCAAAATTGGGATGAACGTAAGTTCCATCCTCGCATTTCCACGCTCTTGATCTCAAATGATCGTAGAATTTTAAAATGACAACAAAGATTTTTTGAATTACTTTCCTCAGAGGTGCCGATTTTTGATTAAGAAGACAGCTAAAACAAATTTCTGTAAATTTAACAAAAAAGGGTTTTTTAACCTACAGGAACAAAATATTTTTAATGTAGTTGGTATGAGTCAGGTATAAAGAATCCAAATTTGTAACTGTGGTCAAATTGCGTTCAAAAACTTCCCAACTGGATTGCAAGACCTCTCCAACAACATAATTTTGCAATGTTTGTATAAAGTGTAACATAACGTGCCTACATTGGTGTACTCGTCGATAATGAGGTGACATCATCAAATAAATCTCTTTTTTTCCCGAAACTTTAGCCAAAATCTTCAGTTCCTGTGAAACACTCTATTAACGCAAATCAGTCTTCTAGTAAAACTTACCAAAAGGATTCTCTTCAAAACCCACGAAATTCTATTAAGCTTAAGGAGATACTTGAATACTTCGTCGTATTTTTCAATAGTATCCACCGGCAACAAAATATTTAAAGGCCACTTCACCTTATACGTCAGAGACAAACAATCTAAAACATCCGGATCTCCTAAATGGAACCTCTTCGGCAGGCTATTTATTTTGAAAGACAAACAGTTTGAATTTTCCTGAAATTTATACGACATTTGCAAAGCTCCAAAAACCAAATTCTGCAAAGTTCGGCAATTGATCAATTCTATGGGAAAATGGACATCGTATAATTTTTCGAATAAAGTCTCAGTAATATTCCTGCCAAACTCCCCATCTTGCAAGAAAAAATAATCTCTGAGACTATTTAAATGTTTCAAATATTGCAAATCTTCCACAACGTACTTCAGTAATTCGTTATCGATCAACTTTGTCTGAGTTGCCAAGGGAATAGAAACACTCTCATGAAGAAACAGCCTCAAACAATTCGTGCTGAGACCAGACGCTTCTTCTCTTGTTACTCGTTTCGAAAAAACCTTTTTTTGTAACGAATCGTAAAAGTTTCGCTTGATTGGAACGTAACTCGTTTCTGGAACTTCTTCAAAAATGAAACCTTCGTCTGTAGCTTGTGTCTCAGCTGTTGTGGGAATACTCTCAAAATCGCCTCTTTCTACACTTAGACCAAATCTACTTGTAGTGGATTCGCTCATGGGGGTTGTATCAACACTCATTGGCGTAGGAATATCACTTTTAACAAAATCCAAAGACAAACTACTCGATTTTTTGATTTTCTTTTCACTAATGTCGCTATTCGTGAAATTTCTATTGAGATAGTTAACGTTGTCAAGTTTTTGTGGTACAAAAACATCGCTACAGCCCAGAACATGGTTCCGGTTAATTTCGCATTGAGTTAAACTTTTTTTGATCGTCGGTTTCATAACTTTCATCTCGATTCCGAATTCGGAACTCATCACTTTAAGTTTATTCTTCTGCGCATCGCTTAATTTTTGATTATCGCAAATGGTAGTGATTTGCTTTTTAATTGGTGGAGTTATTATTATTCCCATTTCTTCTGTTAAAACCTTTTCTTTGTTTTTTCTTGCTGCTGTAAACGTTTCCAAAGTTGCCTTATAAAATTCATCTTGGCTTTTTTCGCTATTGGCATTGATTATATCAAGAGATTTTGAAGTATGAATAGGTTCAGAATCTAGATCAGGTTTTGGTTCGATTTCTGGCAAAGGCTCATCATATTTCTCTTCATTTTCTGCCTCTCCGACTGGTTCATCAATAGAATAAAAAGATTCTTCTGAAGAATTTGCATCCAAGTGGGTTGGTTGCTCCAAACAAGTCTTCAGTTTTTCAATATGGTTTTCAACTTTTTTTCGCCGAAGATCCGATAATTCGTACAATTTGTTGTAATAATCGATTAATTCATTACTGCAAGTGTGGTAATAATAAAAAGTCAGGTCTTATTAAAACTTACGCTTCTCTCTCGATTAACTTATCACGAGTATTTTCAATAGATAAGTTAAATTGGATTATTTTTATCTCATTTTCTATTTCCGATGATATTCTTTCTTGTTTTAGTTGAACAGCAGAATCATACTGTTCTTTTAATGCGGTCAATTCGTCAAGCTTTTTCTCTCTTTCTTCTTCTAATGCTTTCTTTCGTTCGACTAAAATATATTATTTGTTTGTAATCTCACATCATTTACTATTCTCATATTACATTCTGTATATTATTTGAACACAAAAAATACACATCGACTAAATTCATGTTTAAAATAAACTAAGAAAAAATTAAACTTTCTTTATTATACCGAGTGTCTGGTCTCAATCGCAACCATAGGGATTTAACATGGTATTGTTTACCTACAGGAAAAAAAAATTGCCAAAAGATCTCAAAACTAGAAACTTAATCTAGATACGACCATTCTTAGTTGAATTACAACCTTTCAAAAATCACCAAAAAATTTTGGAAAATTAGTTTGTTCCTTTAATTTTTTGGACTAGTGCATTTCAGTTAATTGGAAAAAAAGTTGTGGTCAACACTTTGAAAAATTGTTAATCCGCAGAAGCCATTGCAATAATTAGTTCGCATTATTGAAGTTTTACAGTATGCTAATGAGTGATTTTCTGCACTCATTTTAAAAAACCATTACTCATAGATAATGAGCATTTTTCTTAACTTATACAGTAAATAACTATTATTATTAAAATGTGATAAAATTTTAACATTTCATTTAATTAAAAAAACTCTGCTTATATTAAAGTACCTCTTTTAAAAGCCATTATTTCAGTTATACACCAATAACATACAGAGCATTTCAAAACTCGCGTGCCCCAGAGATAAATGCCAAGTAAGATAAGATACCAGGAAGGTGGCAAAAATATTAACAAATTCTATTTATAAAGATTTCAAAATTATTTTTTTTTCTTTTTGATTCTAATTATTTCTGTTAGAAAAATGATGTATGCTATTGTTTAACTTTATTTGTGGCTTTTATTGTCAAAGTTTTTGTACCTTTACTGAATAATTATAAAAAAAAACCTATACAAGATTATCGGTAGACTACTACTTTCTTAATTAAATAAATCAATATCCTTAACAAAAAATAACGCAACTAATAAAAGCTGCGAAGGAAGAGTACAACAAACCAAGACACGCAAGGGAAAATTGATATTATGAGGTTAAACATTTTAACCTTAAAAATTTGAAGTGTCAAAAAATTTCCCCCAGATTAAAGCGCCAACGGGAATCAGTTGAACTCAAGACATGCCCAAGCAAGAAAAAAAAAATTCGGCGATGAAATAGGCATAAAAAATGTCAAATGTCAAAAAATAAATGTAACAAACATTTTTGACAGAGAATTAAAAAAAAAACATGTTCTTAGTGTCTTATCTTACTTGGATTTTTTTCCTAGGGCGCGAGTTCTGAAACACCTTCAATAGAATTAAATAATTCTAAATTTTTAAAAGAAAATTAAATTTTAAATATAAATTTTCTATTAATTTGGACTATTAGAAATCTGTACTAAGTACATAATAATATAATACTAATACTGTATAATTACCTAAAACAACGATTTACTTTTTAAAACCTGTTTGGAACTACATATTAGTTTTCAGGTTAGTCCGAGAAAACATGTATTATTATATTGACAATGAGACTGTGTTGTTCGCAAAAAATCTTATTAGAGGAAAAGAATATAACTCAAATGATAGCAAATAATAAATTCCATGAAAGGTCAAGAAAATTATAAAGATTGTTTCGCATTCAAATTTAACCTTAACATAATTTCCATTACTATGACAGCCGACAACATTACTTATGCCGTTTTGCACATGTATCAAACGCCGTCGACTCCAAACTAGGCCAAGTTGGTTTTATATTCATTTCTAAACAAACTTTGTACTTAAAAAAAGTTATACTTACGTTCGAGTCTCGCCAACGTCGCAGCACGTTTCTTGGCGATTAAATTCATAAAAATAGGATCCTGTTCTTTATGCCTTCTTACAATATGTTCCAGATTAATTCTCGGACCACATTCTGATAAAATTTCAAGATAATAACACGTCGCGTTTTGATTCAACAAGGATAATTGTTCCGAAGTTAAACAACAAGATATAATCAACGGTTTCTTTTCCATTAAATACGAGTAAAATGTGCTCTGGTGAACAAAACAAAAAATAAAGCGATTATTTCAAATCAGTGATAACTAACCGATTGTAAACATAATTTGAGTAAATTCATAGATTTCCCGCAATTCAAAATATCCATTCGTAAATCAGCTAGAAAATCCGGTACAATATTTTCACGGATGCTATAACTCCGGGTCCAGTAAGTCCTGCCTCTCGTTGATATGTATTTGAAATTTGGTTTAATAAAAAATTCTTCATAGGGATCGTTGACAGTGCCGTCCAAAAGCCACTGTTGAAGAAACCTGCTGAAATATACTTGACAGCAGGGAAACAAAACTGCATATAAAACCAATAAAACTTTTCTGTCAATGAGATTCAAAGCTGTCTGATATAGATAATTCAGAAGTAATACTCCATGTGGCATCCTCTCGGATTTTGCGTAAGGTCCTAATTTACAAATTGAGGTTAATGTAGTCAATTGATTACGCAACTGATTAGTCCGTTCGTGTAATTTCAATAAACCAATTGTGTCAGGCAGACTTATAATTGTCGTGCGATAGACTTCCAAATAACGCTGAATACTCTGACACAATTCCTGAAAAGTTTTATTACAGGAGGAATAAAAAAACTCTTCAAACATACAGCAAAAATATAACCGTCTTGCTTGTATTCCCCAGTAAGTGAGCAAGGAGTTGAAATTTCATGCAAAGCCTTGTAACAGTTTCCACAAAAAATAAATTCCTCACTGTAAGATTTCAGAGTTGTTGGTGACAGACCTTTAACTGTAATGTTTGGTACCAAGAAAAAATCGGAATCATCAGTATAGCTGAAGGAGTATGAAGCCATGCCCACTACAAATTTCATAAAAAAAAATGTTTTATTAAAAATTTAGAAACACCATTTTTTTTTACTACGTTCAAGAGTAAACAATAGTCTAATTTTTGCCATATGTTATACCTCGAAGTAGGTTATCTAATACAATTTCTAAAATGTGTTGGCCGCTATCTCACTGACAAAGCGAATCAAGAAATAAATAACCTGTTAATAAATAACTGAAAGTAATTGAAAAACTTCACAAAGTAATAAAGGCAAACTACCTGAAACAGTGTCAAACTAGTTATTTACGAACCAAGTGCGAGAAGTTGAGCAAACTCTTATTATACAGAATGCGCCAGAACTCACGTCCCAGAAAAAATGCCGTGTAAGGTAAGAATACCAGGAAGATGGAAAAATGTTAAAAAATTTCTATCTATAAAAATTTAAGTTATGAGAGTTTAAATTTTGCACTATTTACTTCTGTTGGAAAAAATTGTTGAAAATGCAAGCCTTTTCCAAGTGTTAATTTTGCATTAAAGTAAATAAAGAAACTTGCGTATTTCTTCATGTTTTTCTGGTCTCTCACTCTCACTTGCTTCTTTATTTCAAAAGGATAATGCATTAGTTTTCAAGCTCTAAAATTCATTTATCGGTTTGTTAATCTGTATCAGATCGAAGAAAAAGTTGAAAAGGAACAATACCTGTGAAGAAGTTTTAGAGAGAAGTCGGTTCATCAGGAATTTCCAGAATGTTTCAAAATAATTTTTGATAATTGTTGATAATAATTAACGATTCTGTCTCATTATATTCGTGTACAACCCCTTCAGCGAGAAAAATACTGGAAACTAGCAGGTTATGTCACCCATATCACGAAAATTAATAAATGTCAAACTCAAAATTACAGTAGACCAGCTATTTTTTTAAATTCTGGGCAAATTGGTATTATTTTCGTAACCTAGCAACGGATATAATTTTTCAATCACATCTTGAGGTGCCGCCTTTCTGGGATTGGTGGATTTAAGAGTCTAATAACTTTCTTATGCAAGCAAAAATTACTTCTTCGGCTGCACTGCCGCCGGCATTTGACATTTTTCTCTGGGGCGCGAGCTCTGGCGCACCCTGTATACAAGATCATCAGTATCATTAAATAGACATAAAAAAATGTCAAATGTCAAAAAAAATGTCAACATTTTTTGACAGAAAGAATTTTTTAAACATTTTTTTCATGTTCCTGGTATCCTACCTTACTTGAAAATTTTCTCTGGGGCGCGAGTTCTGGCGCATTAAGAAGAAATAACGCAACTAATAAAAACTGGCAAGGAAAAGTAAAACAAAACAAGATACGCAAGGGAGAATTGATAATATTGTGAGATTAAACCGTGGAGGGTTAAAAATTTTAAGATTAAAACCTGTATTTCTCAAAAAAATTCCCCAGATTAATGCGCCAACGGGAATCATAAAATGCCCAGGCAAGAAATAGTTATTTATTATAGAAGACGATAAAGAAATTGTTTATCTACGAGTGAAAAGGTTAAGCTTACAAGTGACGAAGTCACGAGTGGACTTTTTTCATGAGTGGACTTTTTTCACGAGTAGATAAACAATCTTTATCGTCGTGTGTAATATTTCGTTTTATTTTGTACTCACCTACCAGAATTTCTTAAATATAAACAGTAGATAAAAATTACTTTATTTCACTAGACGATAAAAGACTACTTTATCTACTAAAATTAGTTGATAAAAGCACTCTTTAACATTGAGTACAAAAAAAATAGTTATTTATTCGACGAGGTTGAGTGTAAATCGGACATTTTATTTCACAAGTGGATTTTTAAACCACGAGTTGAAATAAATGAACCGATTTACACGAAGACGAGTTGTAGCCGGAAAAAAATAAAAACGAATTTCCCATGTTAATTTCCTACTCGTATATCCCAGCCTGCCTGAGACACCCGGTATATGGGCCAGTTGTATACCTGTCCTGTCAATCGTCAGTTATGTTTATAGAAATTAAAAAAAGACCATTAAAACACGAAGCAAAAAAGTAATTCAAGCCTTTAAATTAAAATCTCAGCCAAACACCATCTCAGGCGCAATGAGATGAGAAAAATAACAATAACAATGATAGTTGCAGGCAGAGCTGCCAATTGAGAAAATTGTAACATTCACGATTAGCTGTTAACGTCTAAGTTTTACCAACATAACAACATTTTGACAATGGTTTATTAAATGAAACAGACTTGATTTATGTAATTGTGACTCTGAGATGTCAACGTAAATCTATTATCTATGATGTGATAAAAAATTCAAATGTAGTACTTTTGGTAGCAAAGCTAACTTCAACATGAATCCGTTTCACTTTTAGCTCACTTATGATATTTTTGTTGCCAATGTTTAGTGTTATCAATCTTAGATCACTTGATGCCGTTTTTTTTTTAATTATTTTAATAGTATTCTCTAAAAAGTAAATGTTCACAATACTCGTTCATGTAAAATGGTGATGACCAAAAACTGTGTGTCGCCTGACTGGATTTTTTGACACATCACGAAACACAACTTACTGAATATCATGAAAATCATCTTTTCTTATTAAAGTAACTTATGTCTTTGTAATTATGTTGGCAATATTAAATTAGTAGTATTATACGAAGTAATCCAGAAAGACTGAGTCTGTTGGCAACAGATTTGAAAGTATTTTTGTTAATGATTCGAAACACTGCAACCGGATATTGTTTTGCTTGACAAATACTTGACGTACAACCCCACAAGATTCTTGAATTGTTCTTAATCAAAAGCGTACTCTAATGGTAAGCTTTAAAAATTAGGGTCAGGATTACCAACATATTCAGTCATTGTGGATCACTTTGTAGATTGTTTCAGGTGAAAACTAAGCCACCGGCCACCTCGGAAATGAATGACAATTGACCACAAAATGTGACGTATGACGTATGAATTTGATGGTCGACATTGCTAACTTAATTTTTAAATCATAAGCCACTTTAATTAAAAAATTAATTGAACGCATGGCAGGATCCCATTAAAAAATACAAATCCGAAAATTCTAGTCTCGTCGTAGTTCTTTAATAACCCTATCTAATAATATCTAAACTTAAATTCGAAAAATGAATAGCAAAGAATCTCTCAACGTTTCTCAAGAATTGATAAATGTAAATTTGACAAAAAAATTAATAAATTAGACCATAATTTACCAAAAACTCTGAAACACTGTGATATGTTTGATTGGTTTTTATTCTCAGCAGTGACCCATAGCCAAAATAAATAAAATAATTTAGTGTTACTTAAATACAGGTTTTGTCCAAATAATATTTCATCAAAGAATGATTAAAAAATAACTATTACCTAGTAAATACTTGAGATCCTTGACAAATTCTGTTACTGTTTTAACAAGTGGTTCAACAGTAATATCATCTTGCAAAACGCATGAAAAATAAACAGAAGGTAAATTTTCGACCCATAAATGAGACAATTCCCCTAATTCGCACAAAAACGGTTTTTCCTTATCAGGTTCAAAATGTCCAAAATCCTCCCAATTTTTCCTGTTGCTAAATGTTAGTTTCGATGCCTCAGCCCACACATCTGCTGATGAATAGCTATCAGCAATGTCTATAAGCGTATCTGAACAATCGCTTCTAGATGTTGATGGCATTTTATATAAACTTTTAATATCAAAAGGTAGCTCAAAATCCTTCAAAACGTATTTAAATAAAAGAATTCTTATTTCGAGGACACTTACCACAGAATCATCTTTTTCAACCGGAACATTCCGCAAACATAACAAAAACTGAATTATGTGTTCATCATAATAGTTTTGGACATACTCCCCACATTCCTTCAATTTTAAACTGTGTTCTACTAAATTGTACTTTGTTGCCAGTGTAAATTGCCATGCTAATAAATTACTGTAAGGATCGAGGCCTTTGAAATGTCTCTGACCTTAAAAATAGTGTAAAATAAGCTGAAACAGATTGATTAACAACGTACTTGTTGAATTGTGGCTTGTCTTTTTCAACAAAATTTCGTAGGCTTTTGATCGAAGTTTCTTAACTACAGTTTGATCATAAGAAAATGTTTCACACAAGTTTGTGATTAGATTATATACACTATTTTGCGAATTTTCATCCATCGTTTTTAAATTTAACCAAATTTGACTTAACTAAATGACAACTGTCAACAAACAGGAAAATTGATTTTGCTACCACGACCAAAACGCAAAAGTCCCTAGCACAAATTATATTAAATCATTTCAATTTTGTTTAAATAATATAAACATAATTATTAAAATTAGATCACAAAAAGAATTTGTTAAACTTAATTTGGCACATACAACAAGGAACATAAACAATTATTCTAAAAAAATTAAAATTGCGCTCCTCGGTTGGTTACATTATTGTGTTTGTCTATTTGACATTTTGACAGACAAAAATATTCTTTAAACAAATTCAACAATTTTATTAAAATATTTTCATTTTACAGACAAGTGTTTTAAAATTTCTAGTGATCTATTTCAGTTCTAAAAGAGCGAATATGGTTTACATGATATAATTAAAAGTGAGGTTAGATTTAAATAACTGGTTCATGTTTAAAGCGCATTTTATTTCAGCATGGAATCTGATCGAATTTTAGTCGCAGCAGGCCTCACCGCAGCTGCAGTTGTTGGAGCATTTGTCTTCTGGGGCCCTGCGACAACATCTGGCAGTGGTCGAGGACGTTTAGCTGGCTTAGTCAATTTGGGGAAGACTTGTTTCCTTAATGCTGTTTTGCATGCACTGGCAGCCTGCCCGCAATTCATTGACTGGTTGGAAAAAGACAGATGTGTGAAAGAAACAAGTCTAAGAAGAACTTTGGCAACCGTTTTATCAGGTAAACCACAAAAGTTAAATGCCCAAACCCATGAATATGCATTAATTTGGTGATTATTTTTGTAATGCTGGTTTGTAATATAGTTCACGGTTTGATTTTATGTAGCAGTACTAAATATAGCAGTTTGTTTTCAATGCCAGTATTAACAGTCATTCTCTAGTCCAAAATACTTTCAAAATGTTTATGTGTAAAGGCTTGGACTTGGAATATTTAATAAAAAAGGCCTAAATCATGTCAGTTACGACCCTGAAGAGTTTTTAAACTTTAAACGCAACGTACTATTGATGTCCTTTCATATTGAAAGGTTCGTATTGTATGAAATTTGAGAAATCAAGGCATCCTCGATAACCACTTGACAATCCTTTTTTATCAATTAAAAGGTATTTCAAGTCCTTCGTAGGATTTTAATAACAAAAATGTGAAACTGGTTGCATTGAAAGTTCATAGGGGTGGTTACGTGGAACATTCTGTATGTGTAGCACTTTTAGTTAAAAGTGATTTTTTTAGTTGTTAATGGTACTAATAAGTCCGTTAAGGAGACTTACGCACCAGCTGCTGTTATTAATGCTTTGAAACGGCTTGGTTGGGTTATCCCCGCAGGCGAGCAAGACGCTCACGAATTACTAAACGTGCTTCTAACCACTTTGGATGAAGAGACTCACAAAATTACAAGAAAAGTTGTATTTTAGATGACTTTGATTTTTACTCTAATTTGTGATTTTAGGCCGGTTGTTTATCTGATGCTTTGGGCATGAATGAATTGGATGTCACTGAACCAGAAGAAGAAACTTCCGAATTTAATACTTTAGGCAGTGTTATGTCTTTAAATGAATTATGTAGGCCGAGTAGTTTAAATTGGAGAGGCACCGCGATTAGACGAAACCGATGGATTTCGAGATCTTGTCGGGCTCTGCAAATGTCAGGACCTCCACAACAACCTGTTTCACATCCTTTTACTGGTACTTTAACCAGTCAGTTAAGATGTACTGAATGTGGCCATAAGGTATCCAAACAGACTTTGAAAGGGTGATAGATTATGTATGTTTTTTTCAGTCTAGTGTCCGTTATGATAAATTTGAAAGTCTTTCGTTAGCATTACCCAGTGGAGCGGGTGATTTAGGTTGGGGAAGGCATAAATTACATCAGTTGCTTACGAATTTTGTAACTCCAGAAGTTGTACCTGATGTTCAGTGTGAAGGTTGTAACAGTGGTCGTGATCCGGCGATGCCGCCTATTTTATCCAAGCAAATTAAAATACTTAATTTTAGGAAGGTGAGTTTAATTTTATACAAAAAAGTGTATAAGCTACTAAGTCTAATAAGATGTTTTGCTATACAGGGTGCGCCAGAACTCGCGCCCCAGAGAAAATTTTCAAGTAAAGTAAGATACCAGGAACATTCTATCTGTCAAAAAATTTTGACATTTGACATTTTTTTATATCTACAGGGTTATTCACAGGAGGGTTATTTCTGAATTTTCTTTTGCCGCAACCAACAATACAAATATCACTAATTGCTAAATTAAATATGTTATTTCTTTTAAATTACAAATCAAAGTAAGTTGGTTAGATTTGCCAAAAATGTCAGATTGACAGATAACCTATATTTAATCAAAATTCAACAAATAAATTAACAAGTTAAGTTAATGTAAAAGGTGTTTGAAGTGTCTACCTTCGACTTCTAAACATGCGCCTAGTCGGTTGGTAAACGATAACAAACCATGTCGCATCGTTTCAGAGGTGATTTTTTTGCTTTAATATCAAAAACACAAGGCTAATAACAGCTATCGTGGATTTAGTTATAATTATTTTCAAAATTTGAAATCAAGAAATTGTTGCAATATGTATAATGGGTTGCAGTAAAGAAGATTCAGAAATAACCCTCTCGTGACTAACCCTGTATTTAATGATACTGATGATATGATTGTATATGTTTTTTTTACAATTATTTAGTAATGGGACAAAAATTTTGCCAATAAAAGCCACAAATAACATTGAACAGAGTTACAATTTAGGATACAACTTACTTGTTTCCTCTTTTAATAGCCTATAGCAAAAAAACTTGGAAGATTATTTTTCCAACAGAAATAAATAGAGTCAAAGTGCAAACTTTAAACTTCGAAATTTTTATAGATAAAATTTTTTTAACATTTTTTCCATGTTCCTGGTATCTTACCTTATATGACATTTTTCTCTGGGGCGCAAGTTCTGGCGCATCCTGTATTTTTAAACCCACCGATTTCGAAAGTAATCAAAGAGTCATCTGTCGGATTTGCTTTGAAACTAAGTCTGTCGCAATTACGATGTGGAACCCCGGTTTTAAAAGCGAAATAAAAAATTGGGTACCTTTATTCTGGAAGACAACTTTACTAATAGTGGGATACGCTGTCTATCCAGAAGCAGCAGCTTGATTGTTACATGTATTGTAAAATATAAAACTACGGTTTGCACTGGACTGTTTTACACTATTAAAATAAATTAATACTGCCACAATGAAGATCCTAGAAGAAAACAGTTCTATATACTAAAATTTATTTGTTATGCAATCTATTGTAGTTTAAAAATGCAATAAATCATAACACAATCTAGTAAGACTAGCCAACTCTTTAAATTGCATGTGTACGACAAAATAAAAGCTCTTTTTTTTAAATAGTTTTTGGCTAAAAGATATATATAAATAATTTAGGTACTAAAATTTACGTCAACTCAAGATTTCTTCAAGATTTTGAAGAAGGTAATCAGATCCCAAAAGCTATCACATAAAGTAGACAAAAATCAAACAAAAGTAGACAAAAACAAAATTATGCAATCAGAAATTGTTGACCTTCAAAAAAAACTGACGCCACGTGTGTATTGACCATCCATGATCCAGATTTTTGTTTCCTTTTCATTTAAGGATGAATGATATTTTACGATCGTGACCGCAGTTGTAAAATTGCGATAAATAATTAATTACTGAATTGGCTTTAACTACTTTAAAATTTCACTTTATTTTTCTGAAGAATTTTGCTGAGTCTAAAGTGAATCACCTTTTCGAAAATTTTAGAAATGCAAGAAAGTAAGCTAATTGGTCTGTAACTACTTGGTAATTGGGCGTTTTTACCTGCTTTGAAAGTGGGTACTACTTTTGCGATTTTAAAGGATTGTGGATAATGATTTAATTTGAACATTGCGTTAACTAAATTTGTCAATTGTACTAAAGCTTTACGTGAAAAATTTTTAATTACTTTATTTTCTATTTCATCTAGCCCCGGGGCTTTGTTATTGGGGAGTTTTTTGATTATTTCTGCAATTTCGGTTGGGTTTGTAAAAATTCGTGTTAGATAGTGTTGTGAATTTGTCTGTTCGCGATTTTGATTAATGAATACTTCAACTTGCCTTTTAATTTCATTTTGATCGTTAGTGAAATTTTGATCTGCTCTATGTACTGATTCGTATTGTGCCGCCAGTGCCTCCGCCTGGGATGCCGTTCGCGATAAGTGTCGGTATATCATATGGTTTACGTTTCAATGATTTTGTCATTTTCCAAAGTGAATTATCGTTAGGATTGAGTGAAGCTAATTTTGTTTGCCAAACGTTATTTTTATGTTCGCGTAATAAATTTTTGATTTGATTACCTAATGCCGTAATTTGGGGTTTAAGTGTAGGGTCACCGGTGACTTGCATTCGTTTCTTAGCGCGATTACGAGTTTTAATTATATTAACAATGTTATCTGGTATTTTATCTTTTCGTAATGAAGTGACTATTCGAGTGGTTGAATGTTTCTTCCAAATTTTTTGAATTGATTTTGTAAATTTATTAATTTCGTATTCTAACTGTTCAGTGGTCGAAATATTGTGAATTATTTGGATTTCACTATCTAAATCTTTACGAAAATTATGCCAGTTGGTGTTTTTGAAAGAAGTTATTTGTCGGTTGTCATTATCTTTACGTAGATTAGAAATTTCGAAAATTACCGGATTATGGTCGGAATTTAGTTGTGAAAGCGACTGAGGGTCGTTTTCCAATAAGAAATTCTTTGTTAGGATTAAGTCTATTGTTGTCGGGGTGTAAATGTTTGAGGGAAAGTGAGTAGGTGACCGCGGGTGGTTTATGATAATATTGTTACTGATACTAAAATTATACATAGCACAACCGCTTCTGTTGTTTCTATGGCATCCCCAGGTATTGTGAGTCGCATTAAAATCGCCAGCAATGATTACTTTATTACCGATATTACTTAGGTTTTCTAAATCGCGTTGTGAAATATTATAACACGGACGGTTATAAATTGCAATAAAATGGATTTGATTCATTAGTTTAATTCCGACGGCTTCTATTGTGGTTCACGGTAACGTTAATTTTGAAAATGAAATACCTTTCCTGACCAAAATCGCGACGCCACCCGCCGCATTAGTACCATCTACTCGGTCCTGCCTAATTATGTTGTAATTTTGAATATAAAATCTATCGTTAGGAGGAGGACACAGGCTGCTGTGTCCTCGGGGCTCCTGTTGTTGTTGGGGGCGGTGCTGGTTCAGCTGGCCAGTTTGATGCAATCATGGGGGGCACGGGCTGCGGTTGTGTCGTGGGGGCCCTTGTCCAAGCGTTTGTCTTGGGGGCCGGGGCTGGGATGTAGTGGGTGGATTTGCGGCCAGCTTTTTCATCTTCTTGTGCAACTCTCTCGTTGATGTATTGCACCCGTTTTAGGTAGACGGGGCAATTGAGGTTGTTTGCGGTGTGGGGGCCTCCGCAGTTTGCACATTTGAGTGCGACGTCTTCACTGATTTCGCACTCCCTCGTCCAATGTCCCTCAGCACATTTCAAACATTTTGGCTTGGCGCGACAGTTGCTTATCGCATGGCCCCATTCTTGGCATCGGTGGCACTGCGTGATGCGGGTTTTCTTGACGTAGCGGTGAAAGCTCACACGAATGTGGCTTAGTGCCTGGCATTTCTTAGAGATGCTGTTCAGCGTCTCATATTTTCCGGTGATGACCAGGAACAAGGGCCTTTGAGTGTTTTTCATCTCATAAATGTTGATGAGATCTACACCCTTCTCTTTCATTTCGTTTACAAGTTCGGCGATTTCGGGCCCTTTGTCAAGGCCGTGGAGGACGAACGCGTGGGTTTTCTCCTCCCTGCTGATGTACGTGTGGTACTCCAGTTCGTCTTGTTCCATCTTCTGCTTGATGGAAATGAATTCTTTCCTGGTCTTCGTGGAGATGATTGTCCTCTCCCGGGTGTACTTTATGGTGAAATTTTCACCAACTTGTTTTTTGCAGAACTGAATTAGTGCTGCGTGATCTTTCGCTTTGCCGTGAATCACGATCGGCGGTGGGGGTTTTTCTGTGGGGCTTCTTCTCGGCTGTTCCGAATCCTGGGAAGGGCCGGCGGACTGGTCTGCTTCTCTGGGTGGCCTGGTTTCCATTTCTTCCACCTGTAATGGATCAAATCTATTTTTGGTTTTGACCTTCGACTTACCTGGGCTTGGGGGTGGTGTCCTGGCCGTCCTCTTCGCCGGAGGCGATTGGAACAGGTCTTTGGAGTTCATCTCCGGTTCCGTTGTGACTAGCTGCTGGGTCGTCGCTTTCAGTGGTTTCAGTTCCGCCGGGGGCGGAATTCGGATGAGCGGAACTTTTTTCGGTTTTCGGATTTTCGTCCGATCCCCGATGGCATCGAGAGTGTGCTTTGTAGGCACAGTTTTGTAAGTGAGATTTGGCCTGTTTCTCACTTTGTTCGTTTTGAAAAAAACGTTTTTCACACAAGGTGGAACGCACAACTAGCACAAGTGCAAGTTGCAGGGGTTGTCGCTAATCTGAGCAGGTAAAGGTTTGGACAGGTCCGCACACTTCGGCTGCTCGATCGAGAATGGGATTGAAAGCGAATATCTTACCAACACGCCTACAATGGATCTTATCGGATTGAATATATTATATTGTCTATGCTAATTTTCTTATTGATTAAAAAAATGAATAATTATGGTGTATCCAAATTAATTTTTTAAGGTAAACACGCACGTAATGCGATCGAGTGTGCAGCGCTTAAATTTAATAACGAATTTTGACATTTTCACTTTTGAGCGTTTTTATTAAACAGAAGACGGTCGATGGTCGAGCGTTGGTATCCTTCAAAAATACCCTGACACATCGGCCTACTCGTTTAAAGAAAACGTTATTGTAGTATTCAACGATAGGCAACCAACAATGTCATTATTGTTACGTAGTCATAATTTGTTTTTGTAACACAACTTACTAAATTTGAGTTTTTTTTTTTTTTAATTTTGTGATTGTGATATTAAAAAGCTTACCTACATATTTTTATAATAAAATTTAATATATGGATCGCGCGCCGCGCTGTTTCGGTCGATAATTAAGTTTCCCTTTTTACTTGTCGGTGGCGTTTGCATAGAAGGCGTTTGTTGTCCAATCGTTTTTAACAGGTAAGTCAATATCTTGATATTTATTAAATGTTATAAGTAAAATATAATTCGTCTGCTTTTCATTCATTTTCAACGGTTGTGTTGAAAATTAAAGAAAATGCAATAACTGAACAGCCACGTGGTATAGTGTTATCGTTTTCCAGTGTCGTAAAAGAAAAACGTTGCTTTCACGTTTCACGCCCAAAACATGATAGTAATAATTAATAAAATATTGTACTTACTTATACATATTTATACAATTACTGTCAAGTTGTAACATGTATTGTTGAACTTAACCTAAAATGAGGTACAGGTTAGGCAATTTTGTGCCGTTACCATGACAATACAAGTTGCAAATCAACTTGAAATATTTACTACTATAATCTAATTGCAGCTTGATGTCTTGATTGAACGCGAATATCTTACTAACACGCCTATAATGGATCTTATACAGTCGTTTTCGGATTGAATATAAGTATTATGCTAATTTTCTTATTGATTAAAAAAATGAAATTTTACGATACATAATACATACCCTAGTTACGAAGTTGTTTATTTTTTAAAGGTAAACACGCACGTAATACGCTTGATCGTGCAGCGCTTAAATTTAATAAAGAATAGCGCATTTTGACCTTTGAGCGTTTTTATTAAACAGAAGACGGTCGATGGTCGAGCGTTGGTATCCTTCAAAAATACGCTGACACATCGGCCTACTCGTTTAAAAAAAACGGGTTTACTGTAAAAGCAATTTTTTTTCCGTTATAGAAATTGTTCTTAATCTTATTGTAGTATTCAACGATAGGCAACCAACAATGTCATTATTGTTACATAGTTATAATTTGTCTAAATTTAAGTTTTTTTTAATTTCGTAATTGTGATATTAAAAAGCGTAGATATTTTTATAATAAAGTTTAATCACAGGTTTAATGCACAAGGCCATCTGAATCAAAAAGCTACGCTTATAAGGCCGTTTCAATTTTCGATTTTTCCATATAAACTTTGTTTCTGTGACATTTCGGGCGTCAGTACCTTATTGCGCTCCATCTACCGATTTCTATCGCAGTCGATCGAGAGTTTTTAGACTTTTTATTTTTAGGTTAAGTGCTTAAAACATCAATTAAAACATGAATGCTATAAAATATCCGAGCTTATTTTAGGTACATTCTGGACTAGCAAAATACTAATAAATTAGAATTACAATAAAACATGAAATCATAACACGAGGTAGGTTAGAACAATTTATAACTTCAATATTTTTCTGCAAAGTGGTTTATTTGTTTGTTGAGTAATCCGTAATTTTTGTAGTGTCTTTAAAATTACAAAAACAAAGTAAAAGGTTGTCCTTATCATTGTCTGCATAAATTTGCTTACCGCAAAACGTTTCAAAAGTTTCGCACTATTTTTGCCTTTGTTGCATATTGTTCAGAATTTCAAATAATCGAACATTTTTTGCCCCACAAATGAAACACGGTTTTTACCTTTTTATACCATTATTTTATAAAATTGAAGGGCATTGTTTTAAATTACCGCCAATGTTTATTCGTTAATCGGCCACCGAGGGCGCACAATAAGGTTCTGAATTTTTTGTTTTTATGGCCACTCTGCAGAAACAGTTATCATGGAGAATGAAACGGCCTTATAAGCGCAGCTTTTTGATTCAGATGGCCTTGTTAATGCACATGGCCAACTTCATCTGTCTTCCGCTGCGCTCCATACTGCCGATTTTATATGGATACGATGAATTCTACTAACCTAAAAAAATCGTCCGGTAACTAGCGTCATCTACTTGACAACTTTAAAACTACAGACATTTCAAATTTGACAAATTTTTTCTCAAATTTTCAAAAAAATTCAAATATGGGCAGAAAGTGTTTTATTTGTGGAGAAAAAGATACTCTATTTGAAATTCCAAGCGATACAGCAGCTCGTGCTCAATGGATCAAAAATATTCAGGAATTTTGTGGTAATTTTAACAGCAAAAATTAAAAAAACCTTTCCCTAAGTTCCTACTACAATACTCTTTATAATGCTTTCAAATATATCGTATGTACATACATATTCCAGTTTCTGTCTTCTATAAATCCCCAGAATTTATGTGAAGGTTGAAATTACGATTCCAAAAATTAATTATACAAATACTTAATTTTTACTTTCTATTAGATATCTCAAAATTAAAAGACTGCAGTGTTATTTGCAAAAAGCATTTTAAGAAAAATTACATTAATAAATCTGGCAAAAGGATTAGATTAATAAAAGGAGCAGCACCCTCTGAATTCGTAAACAATAAAAAGTTTTTCCGTGAAACATAATAAAACAATTATCATTTTTTGAACTTTCCTTATTGCAATTTTTCTGATCCTGATCCGAACCCAACTACTAATATTGCAATAACTTATTCTGATACGTTATCTAAAACTATACAAGCAGATTTTATTAATCAAAAAGAAGTACAAAATTTAAAGTATCATTGCAAGGTTTTGAATAACAAATTAAGAAATATGACCAATAAATACAACCAATGTTTGAACAAAATTAAAGAGTTGTAGTCAACAAATGAAGAAAATTTAGAAAATTTAAGCTTGTTTCGTGCAATCGGTGAATCGAATCGTAATTACGGAGAACTACATACTAGGAGACGAAACGAGATACAAAATTGCTTGATTTTTTGGACCCAAAAAAAGTAGTACGGAGGAGTAAAAATGAGGGCGCTTAGAGCGTTTAACCGTCTCAGTTTCAAATCGTTATTAATTAATTTAAATTCAACCAGTTTACTAATTGCTTGGGAAAAAATACAAAAATGTTGAGCTTTATATTCTTAATGAGCTGTAAAAAACGAACCAGTAAATTTTTCACGAGAAATATGAGAAAAAAAATATTTAAAATTCAAAATCTGTACTCCGTTTCATGTTTTTTAAAATGCTGCAAATACGGTTAAAGATACAAGAAAAATGTAAGGAAGAAAGTTGTAGAGAATAAAATTTTCTACAAAAAAGTCCACGACACCATATYTCTATCTTTAATGGTTTAGGCCTCAAAGACGTTCAAAGCCGCTCAAGCGACGAATGTCTTTAGGACCTAAACCATTAAAGATAGAGGTATCATCTCSCGGRCTTTTTTCTTGGAAATTTCATTCTCTACAACTTTCTTTTTTATATTTTTCTTGTATCTTTAACCGTATTCGTAGCATTTTCAAAAATATGAGACGGGGCGCAAATTGCTAAATGTTCGAAATTTTTTTAAATATAGTTTTCAATAAAATTTTTGCATTACTTTTATCTCTTATTTTTGAGAATTTATTGCTCCATCTGTCTATATTTTTTTTTATTTGCGTTTTGCTCACCGTTATGTAAATACGGCCATTTTTTTATTTCATTGCTCTTAAAACTTAAACGGGAAAGGAACAACTGCGCTATCTGGCCTSGCTAACGGAACTATCGAGAACGGRGACGTTTTGTTYTACATCGTGTCGTATCCTAGTCTTTAGGTATCCGTAATCGTAATCAAGCGATTATAAAGCGATTTACATCCTTGTTGAACATGTTTGCATCATTGATGTCAACTGTCAACAGTCAAATGGTATGCGATTTATTTATACGGCACACACACTTCCGCTGTAATAACTATTTTATAAGAAAACCGTGCAAATACACACTATTAACAAAACGATGTTACACTTTACCCAACTTTACGATTCATTGACTGGAACATACAAACATAACCTATCTTTTTTGCGGCTAGTTGTATTAGATTTCATGATGACGCATGCTCCAAAAACCGATGTACATCGCTTTGCATCCTAAAAAATTTACGATTGAAATTTTCTCAATCGTACTCTGTTGAACACGTAAAAGCGGTTAATCGTAAAGCGATTGTTAATCGATTCACTCCGTTGAATGCCCTTATTGTCTTGATATTTATTAAATGTTATACCTAAGTAAAATGTAATTCGTCTGACATTATGTTTATTTTCAACGATTGTGTCTAAAATTAAAGTAAATCAAATAACTGAATCCTGACCCACGAACGTGGTTTTTACTTTATTAGAAAGGGGATATAGACCATACTGTTTTAACGGTGGATTGCATAATCATTTCTTATTCGTCGTTTTAAAACATTCCTACCGACCTATGCCAATGGACTCACAATTAGACAATTTGCATAGGATTTTGTATTGTTCTCTATTATCAATATTATCAAACTATCAAAATCAATGATTGAAATAAATTTATTCAATTTGGATTGTTATTAAAAAAAAAAACAACGTGTAAGCTATAGGTCATGATCAACATAGCATACCATTTCGATTTTTTATTTTTTTGCATTTACGAATTCACATTCCCGAACTCACCAGGATGTTGGAATTTGACTTTCCCGACATCTTCTAGTGGACCAATTTTGACGAATTAAATACCAATCGATTTATCTTCTTCCCTAAAGTGTCACAAGCTATAATATATTTTTAAAACTTCAATATGGCTGCTCTGTTGGAACCAGATAAGACTGTCGTCCTTTTTTAAGAACATCTGCAAGTAACCTTAAGAGGAATCTCGAGCACATGGGTTGATTAAAAACATTCAATCTATAGCATAGCATCGTTTCTATCGGGCCAATTTTGACGAATATAAGGTGTCAATCGATTCGGTTTCATTTTAAAAGAATCACTGACTATGTTTATATCGAGGCGTTTAATCCGCTTAAACCAATCTAAGTCGCTCGGTCATGTCGACATAAACGCAATCGCTATATTGAATCCAAAAAAAAAAATCGGCTTAATCCAGATCGGCAGATCAGTCGGCTTGGACTTAACCGAGCTAGCTTACACAAATTCTATGCGATAGTTTTTTTTAACTGTCATTTGAATCTCGTTCATTATGCAGCTTGGTTTAAGCCAACTCGATATATAAACAGTGGAATATTAAAGCCGCTTGACTTTATTTAACCGGGTTTATCTAAACTCCCGCGATATAAACTTGATCATTGGTATCATACGTTAGTAAAAATTAAAAAAAACAATTTTATGTCATGCTCAGTAACAAGAAGTAATAAAAAATTGATAGTTGCATTATTTGTTTTACTTAACTTGAATTTGTTAATTACATATACAATGTAAAACTTTAATGTATTGGGTGTTCAAAAATGATTACGTTCCAGAAGGCCGTTTTGGTTAAATGACCTGACAGATCTTGTCAAAATTTGAAAATGTAAATAATTGATATTTTCACTTTTATCGTCAGAACTTTCAAATTAATCATCAGAATAATCATTGTTTTAAATTTAAACCATAAAGAGTTAGTAAACATAGCTTTTGGATGACTTAAAACAGAATTAATGCAAATCGTTAACTCTAGAGAGGTCCATCTTACTTATTACTCTGAGGCCAATAGAAAATTATTCTGTAAATTATAATTATTTTGAACAGAAAAATTATTCTGAACTGCTGATTTGCGATGTGGACATTGGAGAAATTGAATTAAACCAAGAAATACGTTGCATTAAATCAACGTCTCCTGCAAGCTTACGAATTTTTGAACACCCTTTATTGCCAATCCATCACTGATACTTATTAATTCATACACGCAATCTAATTGTTGCAGAACAAAGGTATATTATGGCAGAAGTAGACGATGATACTCTGGCACTTTTGAACTCAGAAAATTGCTTTTTATGGGGAAAATTAGAAGATCTGGAGAAAAAATATAATTATTTAATCAAAAAGGAAACTGTGATGAAAAATATATTACAAGAACTGCAGAAGCAACGAAATGAAGCAGAGAAAAATTATAATCGTCTTGAAGAAGAGCACGCTGTCTCGTGTACCGCCGCGGCTGACAAAATTAAAGAAACGGAGAAGAAACTGCAAGAAATTAATATTAAATATGAAACAGAAGTTAGGACCAAGACTGAGACTGAGACTNCTATGTTTATATCGAGGCGTTTAATCCGCTTAAACCAATCTAAGTCGCTCGGTCATGTCGACATAAACGCAATCGCTATATTGAATCCAAAAAAAAAAATCGGCTTAATCCAGATCGGCAGATCAGTCGGCTTGGACTTAACCGAGCTAGCTTACACAAATTCTATGCGATAGTTTTTTTTAACTGTCATTTGAATCTCGTTCATTATGCAGCTTGGTTTAAGCCAACTCGATATATAAACAGTGGAATATTAAAGCCGCTTGACTTTATTTAACCGGGTTTATCTAAACTCCCGCGATATAAACTTGATCATTGGTATCATACGTTAGTAAAAATTAAAAAAAACAATTTTATGTCATGCTCAGTAACAAGAAGTAATAAAAAATTGATAGTTGCATTATTTGTTTTACTTAACTTGAATTTGTTAATTACATATACAATGTAAAACTTTAATGTATTGGGTGTTCAAAAATGATTACGTTCCAGAAGGCCGTTTTGGTTAAATGACCTGACAGATCTTGTCAAAATTTGAAAATGTAAATAATTGATATTTTCACTTTTATCGTCAGAACTTTCAAATTAATCATCAGAATAATCATTGTTTTAAATTTAAACCATAAAGAGTTAGTAAACATAGCTTTTGGATGACTTAAAACAGAATTAATGCAAATCGTTAACTCTAGAGAGGTCCATCTTACTTATTACTCTGAGGCCAATAGAAAATTATTCTGTAAATTATAATTATTTTGAACAGAAAAATTATTCTGAACTGCTGATTTGCGATGTGGACATTGGAGAAATTGAATTAAACCAAGAAATACGTTGCATTAAATCAACGTCTCCTGCAAGCTTACGAATTTTTGAACACCCTTTATTGCCAATCCATCACTGATACTTATTAATTCATACACGCAATCTAATTGTTGCAGAACAAAGGTATATTATGGCAGAAGTAGACGATGATACTCTGGCACTTTTGAACTCAGAAAATTGCTTTTTATGGGGAAAATTAGAAGATCTGGAGAAAAAATATAATTATTTAATCAAAAAGGAAACTGTGATGAAAAATATATTACAAGAACTGCAGAAGCAACGAAATGAAGCAGAGAAAAATTATAATCGTCTTGAAGAAGAGCACGCTGTCTCGTGTACCGCCGCGGCTGACAAAATTAAAGAAACGGAGAAGAAACTGCAAGAAATTAATATTAAATATGAAACAGAAGTTAGGACCAAGACTGAGACTGAGACTGAGGTCAGTTTTCAAAAAAAAGTAATTATGCTACAAGACGAACTAAATAAAGCATATAAAGAACTAAATAAACCATTTAAAGAACTAAATAAAGTACAAGGAGAAATTATTAGTACACAAAAAGAAATTACTAATCTACATAAAGAACTAAACATTCTTCAAAAACAACTTTATGAAAAAGCTGATCAAATTCGCATCATCCAAGCAGAGCAGGTAAGTTAGAGTTATTATTGCTTGTTTTTTTATGGATTTTCTATTTAATTTGACCTTTTAGAAAGATCGCGAAGAAAAACTAAAGAAAAGCATTGAAACACAAATGATAAACAATCAAATGGTAAGAATGAGGGCTGCATTAACTACGTTTGAGAAACAGAAAATACCGGATTTTGACCCAAATAAAAGAGGTGAACTTTGGGACAAATATCTAAAGACAAATTATAAAAATATCACTCTACCACCGAACGTCAAAGGTTGCGTTAGAAGTATTTTCGATAAATTAAATAGAAATGTACATAACTGTTACTCTGTAGGAGATGAGATGATAATCCAGAAATCTGCTTTTGATGACGATGAATTGACATTGCTAGAAAACTTATGGCAGCTGTCGCCTCTTCGAAAAGGATCACTGTCATCAAAGGAAGTCCTTGATTAATTTGTGTTTTTTTTTTATATATTTATGTATTGGTGACTATGTGTATAAATGAGTACATGTATAATATTTTATTTAAAAATTTATTACAAATGAAAATCGCACGTCAAATATTCACCAATAGAAATATTAAAATTAGTTCACGA